TACATATCGATTTGCATTGTCTTTTGTTATCTGTCCTACCCTCATTCCCTCTCACTCACTCACTCAGTCCATCATTCACTTTTTCTCTCTCTCTCACATTTCCTCTACAAGGATTTGACAAAGACCATACCATACCACAACGATCAACAGTCTGTTGATGTTTTGTTGAGCAGGCAATAGCAATGGCTAGGGGTCGTGCTATGTCGTGAATTAGCAGAAGTAAGAATTCATGGGCTGACCATTGGATCGGGTCCCAGTGGCTTAATGGTATATGAGCTCGCCTTGTAAACCAGAAGGTCCTGGGTTCGAATCCCGGTGGGTGCGTACTGATGAAGAGTCCCAAACTAGGGGGAAACGGCTGTTCATTACTCCCAGGTTTTCCAATTGTTCTCTAACTGATGTCAGCTCATGATGAAAATCCTGTAATAGCAAAACCGTTGGAATTCTGTGTTTTCATGTGTAAAGGTTAAAGTTCACGTATTCAACAGATGTAGGGTGTCGGTGGCATAGTGGTTAGGACGCTCGCCGACCATGTAAATGGTCCGGGGTTCCACACCCGGCCGACGCACTCCTTTACCTCGCTAAGCCAGAAATAATCCTGGTAAAGACGAAAGGTCGGACATGAGGCTAGCAACCCCATCCTGTAAAATAAACACTGCTACAGAAACTTCAAGCCACTAGCTTGAAGCCCTATGTTCCACTGGAGAACGTGAAGGAAAAAAAAATTCAACAGATGCTGGGCAAAGTAGATTGAAGTCAAATCAAAACGGAAGATGAACGGAACACTAAAATTGGTTTCTTTTTATCTCAGTAGGCAAAAATTGATGAGGGCAGGAAACGAGAAATAAATATTCCATGTGGCGATTCATATAAAGTTAGAGTATGGGGATGTCTGTACAAATGAAGTTCAAAGCATCAATCTGTCCTATACATCTAAGCTACAAAATCAATAAGAATGGAACTTGGACACTGTATGGTAGAGTTTAATTCTGTCACAGAGTAAATTGGCGTTGGTGGCTTAGCGGTTGAATGCTCCCCAACCACGCATTTGGTTCGGAGTTCGATCCACGGTCGATTCACTCCTTTACCTCGCTAAGCAGTAATAAGACTGGGAAGACAGAGGGAAGGCTGAGCATGAGGCTAGCGAACCCCTAGACTTCAAAGCTCTAGTATGAAGCCCTATGTTCCAATAAGAATTTAATGGAATTAAATAAATCAAAATAAACAAAAGAGTAAATTTACTTGATAAAGTCTCACAGTGTAATACAGTATTACTTACTGATCAGGTTTTGAGCACAATTTATTGCTGCTCATAATCATATCAGTGCAATCATACAACTTTCTGACTTCGTTTGAATAATTCCATTATTTACAGGATTTCATTATGAGCTGACATTAGTTAGAGAACCATTGGAAAACCTGAGAGTACTGGACAGCTGTTTCGTCACACTAGTTTGGGACTCTTCATCATCCACCGGGATTCGAACCCAGGACCTTATGGGTACAAGGTGAGCTCGTATACCATTAAGCCAGTGAGACCCGATCCAATGGCCCATGAATTCTAACTTCTGCCAATTCACAACATAGCGCGACCTCTAGCCAATGTCCTCGGCGAGTATTTGTCCCCACACCCGACCTGCTGCACCCTACTGGTCACGACTTCTCACTAGAAGCCTATTTAACTACCTACCTGAATAGAGCAAGTCGCTAGTGAGCATCTCATTGATATTCAAGTGTTGGTTTGTAGGGATTTGATTGGTTACGGGATTTCATCATGAGCTGATATTAGTTAGAGAACCATTGGAAAACCTGAGAGTACTGGACAGCTGTTTCGTCCTAGTTTCGGACTCATTTCTCGATTTGATTGGTTTTATTATTTGCTTTATCTGTGGTATTGGTGATGAGTCGTTCCTATTGCATGTGCTAACTGAAGATTCAATGATCAAAGATTCTGTAATCAACCTCCCTATCTGTTTTTTGTTTTAGAATTGTAACTCTGTCCCACTCTGTTGTGTAGTTGTGTGTTAATGGATACATTGGGACTCCTAAGTTTTCTCTTCTAAATTACTCATCTTCATGGGGTCACTCTGTCTGTCTGTTTTCGACATAGAACTTTACACATATATCCGGCAGTTAAAGTCGCCACACTCCCTTCATGTACCACACAAAGCAAGAGGAGAAATGCATAATAAAGACAGAGGTGTGAGACAAAGGTATAGTAATATCGAAGAAAAAAACAGTTTCATTGGAAATCATAAGTCACAAGGAGTGGATGCATCTGCACCAGCCATTGAGAACGAGGATTTTGAGCCATATCACCAATTGTTCCCAACCATTGGATTTTACCGTCCCGAGGAACCCAACCAGGAAGCCAGTCTATACCTTCCCACGTGGCTTAAACTAACTGTTGTGGATTTCATTGACTGGTGCCATGTTTTCGTTTGACCACCACTAACTAGCTCTTTTCCAGCCTGACCCTGTATCAGCTAACATTATTCGACAATCAGCTAAATTCTTATGTTCTGACAATCTGGCTACCACCAATCTACTGGTTTCACCTATATGGTTGACCTCACAGTCCTTGCAAGTTATTTTCCGGATTATATTATTTTGTCTAATTGGGTCAACTGGCAGGGTCCTTTAACCAACAGAGCTTGTCCCTGTGTGAGTTTATGGATTAAAATGCCCCCCTAAATCCTGCTTCATTAAGGATCCTTTCGTGGAGCTTCACATGTCCTCTTCTTATATGGTAAAACTGTAGATGCTTGAAATTCTTTTCAGTTTATGTTATCAATACTGGTTTCACTATTATTTTTCTTTTTCTCATAATTTCTTTTTATCTTCTAAATGAATTTTGTAGGCTAGTTATTTGACATCAGTGCTTCTTCTATCTGTTTCATTTCATCATTTAGGTCTTTTTTGAAGTACTTAGTGCTATTGCTCGGTTTCTTAGACATTCAACTAAGCCTACCTTCATAGATAACGAATAAGATGAATTATAGGGCTAAATATCAATTAGAATGCCTACCTAATTCTCGTTTACTGCACAATTCACTGCTTACTTAATTGAGCTGAGTAAGATATGGCGTGACCTCTAATAAGCCATAGCTGTTATCGACGAGTGTTAATCCTCACACCCAATTCGGTTTACTTCCCATCTGAGGGTCCTAGGTTCTATTCCTGATGAAGCCATGGGTTCATCTCGCTGAGGAACCTCAAACAAGAATGAAATAGCTGTCCAGCACTCTTGGTTTTTCACTGGTTCTCTAACTGAAGATAGTTTGTGAACAATTATGAAATCTTGTTCACAAATACACTAAACAACTTCATTTTCTCTAATACAATATACCGATGATAGTATAAAATGACTTTCCAACGCTGTTCAATGGACTTTTATCTAAGGTGGGAATCAGAGTATTAATAAACTACTACAATTAGTTGTGTTCTCTGAGCTCGTTGGTTTAGTTGCGGAGCTTTCGTCGTCCTTCTCGACAACATCATCAGCGCAATTTTTAGCGTAAAGTGAACTGATTTAAATTTCTTCATGAGTGATAGAATTCCGTCTCCCGGTAACCATCTTTACATATGCATTGACCATTTTATATTGACTTGGATTTCGAACTTTCTCGTCACGTGATTTACTCTTTATTAGTTGGTATATTTCGTCTATATTAACGTGCTTGTTAATTGCAAATTCGTTTGAGTACCAGGCTTCTAGGAATTCCCTGAATGCACTTTTGGTGTTTCTCCCGTCTAGAATTTCGACATTATCCCAATCAAACTGATGTCCATAATTATCTGCATGCACTGATATGAAAGAATATATATCATGTCTTTTGATAGCTGATTTGTGTTCCTGGATTCTGATTCGAAGGGGACGCCCACTTCGACCACCAATGTAATGTCTGTTCCAGTCCATACATGCAATTTATTTTGTAAATGGTATTAATTTTATCTCCTTTTTCTGTTGGATGGGTCTTTTGGTTTGTACAATATCGAATGAAGTGATTTGACTGGCTAGCTTGTGTGCTTTATCTATTTCAAATGGTTTCAGTATTCTATCTGTTATTTCAGAGATATTTTTGCTTATATATGGTAGGATGAATTTTCTTGTTTTATTTGATGGTAGTTCCTTGTTGGTGTTGTGATCCGATTTTAAACACTTTTTGATGAAATTGTGAGGATATCCATTCTTTTTAAAGACCGTTAGTAGGTACTTTTCTTCCATTCTTTTCAACGCTGGATTAGTGCTACAATGTGTTTGAACTCTTTTAAACAATGTCTGCACACAGTTTCGTTTGTGAGTAACTGGATTATTGCTAGTATAGTTGAGTATTTGATCTGTGGGTGTGTTGACTTTCTATATACTGGTGTTTCAAAATTTCCTGTGTTGGTTCTCCTGAATAAAACATCTAGAAATAGGATTTTGTTATTTAATTCTTCTTCTCTTGTGAATTTGATGTCTTCGAATATATTGTTTACTAATCTATGGGTATATTCCAAATCATTTTTTAAATTATTATCATTACTACCTGTAATTAAACCATAGTCTGGGCACGTTACGTTGATGATAGATTTGTTGATACATTGAAAGTTCAAAATCCAATTCAATAAAAAATGATCAGTACAGATGTAAATCGACTACCACTCACGAAAATGGTTACCAGGAAATGGAATTCTATCATTCATGGAGAATTTAAGTCAGTTCATTTTATACCAAAAATTGCGTTGAATATGTTGTCCAGAAAGACGATGAAAGCTCCACAATTAAACCAACGAGCTCAGAGAACACAACTATTTGCAAATCATCCACCTGAGCTACAAATCTTCTCTATTATTTCAACAAACCACTACATTGCAAGTGATTGAATTCACAATCATCAGTCATTGACACTAACAGATTACCATGTCTACGCCAATGGTTTATAATTGAAATAAAACGGCAAAATATAAACAAACTATTTAGGCTACAGAAAAATGACCATTGAAAATTGAATTACCTTTTCTTTATCTCTTTTCGTCGGTAGAATAATTGTTGGCTGATCAATACAAATAATGCAAAGGAAATAGGCAACACAAGAGAATATAATCCCCGAAATAATTGAATACGGTACTACAGCATCGACTAGAACTAAATCTTTGGCAGTATCATTGTTTGTTGTATTCATGGCAGTAGGTGTACTAGTACTGCTACTACTACTACTGCCAGTATTGTCATTCTTTGGCACTGATGGCAGTGTAAACGGTTTCACAAGTAATGGAGCTATAGCTGCACCCATACCATAACCGGAATGCATTAAACTGAATGGTCCAGCAGCTTTCGCCTCCCAAACAGAAGCCAATAACGGATTACCATCTAGAAGAGATTTTTAAAGAGAAAAAGATGTTTTAATTTTACAAATTAGGATGATGCAATCAAATGAGAAAATCTGCATAAAAATATAGCATAATCAACAGTTTGATTTTAAAATATTCTCCAGATACGTAAAATAAATCTAAAAACATGAATTCTTCAAAGTGCTACCGTTTAAAGATCCTAAAAGGTTTCTACCAATAAGCGCTACCTTAATATGACTGTCAGGCTTGCATATCTCAATGACTTAATGCGCTATACAGGTAGGAATGAATGTTTCTGCTAATCATTCCACGTTAGAATAGTACTTTTGATAGTGGTAAGACTAAAAGCGATTACTACGATAGTATAAGTCTGAGAACAACGTCATAGTATCGGTGAATAGGGAAGTAGCAGTGTAACAGCAGAAGGCAAGACGCGGAAGCTAAGATATATTTTCCATTGATCAAACGGCTATTTATATCTATACAGTCTGTACTTTTTAATGAATCACTGAGCGTGTGATTCTGGTTTACATTAAACGACATGAAGTATAATGTCCAAATACATATATATAGTATTCTGTTGGTAATGCACTATTGAACTTCTTTCTTTCTTTCTTCCTTTTACGACATAGAACTTTGCACATATGTCCGGCAGTTAAAGTCGCCACACTCCCTTCATGTAGCACACAAAGCAAGAGAAGGAAGTAGATGAAATGCGTATTAGAGACAGTAAACAGAGGTGTGAGACAAAGGTATAGTAATAACGAAGAACAAAACAGTTTCATTGAAAATCATGAGTCACAAGGAGTGGATGCATCTGCAACAACCATTGACAGCGATTTTGAGCCATGTCACCAATTGTTTCCTACCATTGGTGTTTACCGTCCCGAGGACCCCAACCAGTCAGGAGGTCTACACCTTCCTACGTGGCTTAGACTAACTGTTGTAGATTTCATTGACTGGTACCATGTTTTCATTTGACCACCACTAGCTCTTTTCCAGCCTGACCCTATATCAGCTAAAATTGCCCGTCGTCGAGGAAGGCGATGACTAGGCATTCGTAGCACATGTCCTAACCATCTCAGTCGATGTAATTTCACAGTCTTGTCGATTGATTTCCCCTCCTTACCTAGCACTCGATCGATACCTAACCTCAATATTGCTCACCTCATTATACCACTTCACGCGGGAGATAGAACGCAGACACCTATGACCAAAGACAACCAGTCTTTTCATGTCTTCCGCTCTCAGTGGCCAGGTCTCACATCCATAGAGGAGGATGGAGCGGACTGCTGAGCAGTACACACGCCCACTATTGAACTGTGTGAATATGTGAGAATAATATTCTCTTGGAACATATTTTCTGTATCACACCACCCTAACAGAAGTAATAAGTGCCCTTTAGAAAGGCAACAAACCAACTATTCTGCCTTTCCCTTATTAGTGGTAGGGAAGGGGCTAGAAAAGCTCAATCACAAGAAAACTTTACATCCTCTGAGTAGTGTTTACGGACTTTATGCTAACGCTCTTTCTGTTTCATTTCCCATAACAACAAAAATCCAAATGTTATCATTCATTTAGTGAGTTCAGTGAAATCTTATGTAACATTTACTGAATTCTATGTAAGGAGACCTTCAAATTTATGCATAAATCCCTTTGATCAATAGAGATACTCAGTCGCAAACTTGTTACAATCTAAGCTGATTATGTTACAGCATACGTAGGAGAATAATAAAGAGAAGACATATACACTATATTATGAAGCTCACGGAATACAGAATATTTCACTCTATATTACTTTGTACTATAGAAGGCAAAAGACAACCCAAACATGCATGATAACAGTCATTTTTTATTCTAAGTGATTATTATCATTGTTTCCTTTAATTCCTAGAGGAACATAGGGATTCAGCCGTGCGTCTTCATTGCATTCGGTTCTCTGCTAGAGTCTTCACCTGGCTCCAAGTCTGCCCACACACTTTCATCTCCTCTTCACATCACCGCCTCCTCCATGTCACCCACCCTCGCACTGACGACCAACTCGCCACTTCCCTTTCGAGTTCCACTCGAGCAATGGCTTGTCTAGTGATGTCACTTGATGGTTTCCTCAGAGTATAACCGGCGAATCCATCTCCATTTCCTCCTGACTATTTCTTTCACAATCGGTTCCTGCTGGGTTCGTTCACTCACTGCCAGAGATCTCTGTTGCTGATCTTTTCTGGCCAGCCATCTGATCTTGAGTATTGAGCGAAGACAACTGTTAATGGAGGTCTGTAGTTTGTTTGAGATGCTCTTTATGACGTGCATTACAAGTCTCTGATCCGTATAGTGAGTAGCACTGACTGACTTCACATTGGAGTTGAAAATCCGGACCTCATTTTCATTTTCATGCTGAGTGCTGTTGACCTGCACACAGACTTGAGAGTAGTGAAAGCTTGTCTTGCTTTTTCGATCCTTGCTTCGATATCCTCGTCAGTTCTGTCCGCCTGTAGTTGAAACGATGCTTCCAGGTTGGTAGGTAAATAAGGTTGTTTCTTTCAGGTTCCTTCCACATATGCTGATTGTTGTCTGTTGTTGCTGTTCTTGTCCAGGAATCTTCATCATCTCTGTTTTCTCTATGTTCACCTGAAGGAAGTTGTATCTTTGATGCTTCTTCTGCCAACTTGTTGCTTTTCGCTTGCAGATCTTCCAGTTTGTGTGAAATCGGACATATATCATTGGCGAAGTCCAGATACTCGAAGTTTTTTGTGTGAGTCCATTTTATGCCTGTTTCCTCATTGCTCGCTGTTTGTCGCATTATTCAGTCTACTGCAATCAGAAAAATCATTGGCGATAGTAGGCAGCCAGCCAGCCTTATCTTACTCCTGTCCTCACTTCGAAGGATTCCGTAAGTTTCCCATTGTGGATTACTTGGCATGCAGCATTGTCGTATAGCTGTTGGATGAGATGTATAATTGTCGGTGGCACCCCATAGTAGCGAAGTAGTTGCCAAATCACCTCTCGATCGACGCTGTCGGAGGCCTTTTCAAAGTCGATGAAGTTGAGATAGAGAGGTGACTGCCATTCCAAGCTTGGTTCAATGATGATCCGTAATGTGGCGATCTGATCAATGCATGACTTGTTTCTCCTGAATCGTCTTATAGTTCTCTTTATTCCTTTCTATTTGTCGTAGGGGTAGTAGGATTTTCCAGATGTCCAACTGGACAGGTGTTGAATCATTCTTATCGCACATATTTACAGCTGATTCGATAAATAAAGCCTCCGTTTTTATCAATCTCTCCATTGTGTTAGATTAGATTTTAAGACTGTCATCTTATACCATCCTATTGTGTAGTAGTGTGTAATTACATTTTGTACTACAGCGAAGCTATTCTTCGGATTATTTTATCTTAGTAAGGTTTCGTAGGTTCCTTCTTTGTACGCAGGTACTACTGATGGTTTAAGTTTCTTACCTTTGGTGTTGACATAATCCTGTGCAAATTTGTCATGCGTGTCTTCATCCTAATTATTACTGTCATGAGTATTACTACTTATTTTAGTATTAATTTTATTTTTACATTTCCTTACAGACTTCGTGATTAATTTATCACGGTAACTATTAAGTTTTAAGGCTTCTCTTATATGCCTCATTTCCTGTCTCAGATTTTCCTTCATACTACTTGGTCTTTCCCACTATTACTTAAACATTCCACCAATCCTGTTTTTACTGACATAGGATGGGACGATCGGAAATCCAAATATCTGTTTGAATGTGTGGGTTTTTCGCAAATGCTGCAGTTTAACTTCCCATCTTCTTTCCTTTTTATGCTACAATCTGACATTGGAAACTCCCCTTCCTGACTTTTTTAATTCATTAATGAAATGAATTGCCTATACCTCTGGGTTGATGTGTTCAAAAAAAATATTTTTACTTTTTGCTTTTAGTACTTTGAATGGATTATCTACATTGTCAAATTTCCAACTCGACTTGATAAAACACTGGATCTAGTATTTACTAATGATGCGGAAATATATGAAGCACGCAGACATGCTCCTATAATGAACTCTGATCATTGTATTATTCGGATATTTCCCAAGATATATAGCAGATATCACTCTAATATCCTCTCGAATCTCTCCAGGAAAACACAACAAAGATGTTACTCCCAAGAAAACGTGCTCAAACTAAGATGTATGTTAAATGACACAAACTGGGAACTTTTCACTGAACACACACTGGATGATACTATTTCCAATCTGACTGACTATCTTAAATTCTGCCTGGATGTATGCTGTCCAAAACAGATACTTTTCAAAAGAATAGACCGTTTCTCTTCTCCTCATCTCAAAAAGCTTCGAAGAGAAAAAGAGAGACTGTACAAGGCTAAGGATAAAGCTGGTCTTAGGAGAATAAACATCCAAATTAAATCCGAAATCAAGAGGTTAAACAATATTTATAATCAAAGAATATTGTCATGTAAAACTCCTGGGAACATGTGGAAGCTTTTCAAAGAAATTACAGGTTGTGGTAGGCATCGATCTTGTGCTCCCTCTCTTGATGTAAATACTCTTAATAGATCTTTTATCCGCCTTCCCAATGTACCTTTCAGCTTCAATGTAACAAATAACATGACCAGTGACTTTCATAGTTTTATTACTTCTGATGTTATTAAATGTTTAAAATCTCTTAAACCTTCCCAGAGTCTAGGTCCTGATGGTATACCTACCACTGTCCTAAGGAAATGTGCTGATATTTTAAGCAACCCACTTACAAACATTTTAAATACTTCTTTTTCTAATAATGTTGTACCTTCTCTGTGGAAAAATATTAAAATCATCCCTGTACCCAAGTCAGGCCCTGGTAATAATGCTAAGTTCAAACCTATCGCTATTACCTCTCCTTTTTTGAAACTAATGGAGAAACCATTGTTACTAAAACTTGTTCTCTCCCTAAATTTCTCAAAAGATCCTAAGCAGTTTGCTTACAAACAGGGTAGAAGTACTTTGGACGCTGCTGCTGTGTTTCATCACAACATTGTA